TAACCCTTTTTTTTTTCTCATAAATTAACTTGTATATTTTTAGTGAATAAAAATTATAAACCAATATGTATATAAAATTAATGTGACAATAATATTTATATTTTAATTTTACCGTATATAGTACAAATTTATGGGATAGTGTATGTGTCACCGATTTATTTTAATTCCTCTTAAATAAAATAAAATATATATATTTCCAAAATTATTTACTTTGAAGTTTTATTATTATTTAAAAAAAAAAAAAACAAAACAAAACAAAACAAGAGTAACAATTATGCTGGAACAAAGGTCGAATAATCTCATAAATTCAATTAATTTGTGAGCAAAAAAGGAGTTCCATATTTGCAATATATATAAAAGTATTTGTCGAAAAATATAACTATATATGAGTCAACTATGAACTCATAGAGATAGATTGACTTTAGCATTTTATGTTAATTTGCATTTTTGTTTTTTGTTCCATTTTCACAATATATATATATATATATTATTCTCAATCCTTATTCAATTTCGTTTTTATTTGAAATAAGAATTGTTTCTTTTGAATCTTTACACAATTTTTACGATTTAGGCTCTTAAATTTTTCAAAACATATATATATATATATATTGATCACAAAATATTACATCATATGCAATTTAATTAAAAATACAAACCTTGAAAATCCAATCCAGCCAAAAAGAAAGACACATATGTCTAAAAAACATACAAGTTATTAACTCACCCATGATGTTTCTTCGAGTGGGATTTAAGGATTAAAGAATAGAAAATGATGATCGGTAATGCGAATATTTATCATATTTTGTCCTTGTAAAATAGTTTGTTGATCTGTATTTTTATATATACAAAAATCAGCATAATATTTGAATTAAAGAATTCATTAAAATATCATTTGAGATGACCCATAACACTAAAATAGAGATTCAGGGTGAAAAAAGAAAAAAAGAAAAAAAAAATCTAGATTTCAATTGAAGTATCATTTTGTTTTCAGGATTCCAACGAACAATCCGTCAAGCGAGCGAGCAGTTTGTCAAGCGATCGAAGACTCGTGGCCGATGAAGAATATATATGCAGGACAATAGTAAGTTCACTACTGGACTATTGTTGTTAGTGTTATTTAGGGTAAGCCAATCACCAACTAGCTTGACTATGAATATAATGTTTAGACAGTGAAAAGTCCTAATAGAGAAGAAGAAAATATTGGCCATTTTTGGGTCAAATGTTGAGCTCCATTTTCTTGCAATACCTAACATGGATTACAGGAAAGATAATTTATTCTACTTCGAGCAATTTGACATAGAAAACTTATTTTAAAATAGTTTCTGCCCAATTATTCGATCCCAACGGTGAACTAGTGTCACGAACTATTAAAAAAAAAAACGGGTACGATTGGTTTTGTGTTTTAGTTTTAAATATTTGTTTAAATAGTAATTATATGTGATATTTTGGAGAATAAATTTGCTTTTTTTATACATAAAATTGTGATAATTATATAGTTAAAAAAGTAGTCATATATAATAATTATAGATTTATACAAAATTTGATATACAATAAGAGTGATAATATTGAGAACTAAGCGCACCCGATGTAAACTTGTTAAACCAATAAAGATCTTAGTAGGCAACAATCATATTATATGATCTGATTGGAGTGATGAACTTGTTGTATAAATTAGAAAATAGAGGAAAGCGCACAATAAAATAAAAAATTTGTTACATAGTTCAATCATGATGATCTATGTACGGGGCGACCAAATCAGATATTTTCACTAATAATTTTAGTGTGTTAATTACAAAAAGAATGAACGAAGTGTAAGCTAAATCTTAGCTCGATCAGTGACAGAATGACTGAATGAAGTGTAAGTCAAATCTTAGCTCGATCAATGACAGAATGACTGAATGTACAATACAATCTTGACTCCAACTTGGACTTCACAACCATTATGAATCACTCAAAATATCCCAAATTTTTGGATAGTTAATCATGAATTTGAATTATACTAAACACAAGTTAATTTATATACAAGGGCTTTGTTCTTTTTTTTGTTTCTATTGTTTTACTAAACCACCACCATATTCCTTATAAAATCATCTCATAAAAGATCATATTTAAACTATTATTCAATAATTATAAAAAAATCACACTAAATAAAAAAAATTAAAAAAAAAATACAGAATTCTAGAGAATGAGAATATAAAGTGAATGATAAATTGTGTTTATAATGTAAAACAAAGTATTTGTGCTAAACTTTCATATCCAACCCTAGTCCTAACATGATCACTAAAATAACAAAAATGAAATAAATGTTAGCACTATCAAATAAGTAATACTCCATCATTCATCCGTACGCCTTCAAGGATCACATTTATTTTTTGCATCATCATATTCAACATTAAAAATATTCTTATATTTGTATAATTTTTTGTACAAATATCATTCTATTAGTATTATAAGACACTAATGGAAGTATTTTCGCAATTTTTTCTTAATTTGTACTACATTTTGATATTAATAATTAATATTCAAATATCAAAACGCAAAAAGTATATGAGACCATTTAGTAATAATTTTTTTGAAAAATACCTTGGTTAGAGTGTTGATTGGAAATTTATCATTACGGTACTGATTATCTCAATCATCATATGAAAATACTACAGATAACATGTGTATGGTCCGTCTTATTTTATATGTGTGCTGTAAAATTATATCTAATGTGTTATATGATATATATTACTGTACCCAGTGACGGAACTAGCTTTCGGACTTTGGAGGGTAGAGTTGTTATGTTAATTTTATTTTTCTTAATTATTCAATTTCAATTTAAATATATTTTGAACCGTTAATTTTCGACATTTTATTCAAACCGATAGTTTGGCTTATTTATGTGTGAAAAAATTATTAGAAACTACTCGTCAATTCATTATCATTAATTCGGCATTACTTTATCTTCTTTAATTTCTTTTGACACTATAGTGAAATTACAAAGAAAAATAAATAAAGTTCAGAAGAAGAAAAAAAATGAAATATATGGTAAAAGTGTAGTAATATTTACAATAAAAATTAATTTGTATTTGAATATAAAATATATTTAATTAAAATTATTATATAATATTATAAATTAAAGTAATGGATTTAGGGATAAAATAGAGTGATAGATTTGAATTAGAAAAAAAAATAATATAATTAGATTAAAAAATATTATTTTTACTTAAAAAAAAAAAAAAACGGTTTACAAATTTGAAACTTTGTTGTTTCTGGTAATGGGTTCGGATATAATTGAAGTTCATATCAATTAAGAAGTTGAAATAAAAAGACTCTCGTGCAAAATAATTCTTTTTTTAAAAAAAAAGAAAAAACAACAACATAGATAAAAAGCAAGTATATTGGAATTTGGCCACCAACGAGTTTATTAATTTTATAAAATTCTAATTCTACTTTTATAAAATGTACAAAAATGATATTAAAATTATATTTTTAATCTTCACGCCAAAAAAAAAAGTATTTTGAATATAATTTTATATAACAGAGGAAGCATATGTTTATTCACATGGCATTGAGGGAGTATAAACTATAGTTAAAATCTATATCGGCTAACAAAACTATTATTAGCCAAGATATGACATTTAATAAAAAAAAAAATGTCTTGTTTAATTTCATTAGTATCCGAAAATAATGAAATGTGTTTGTATATAAATGATTTTGAGGTTTATGCCTCAAAACACTTTGTTAACTGAAAGTGTGGTTTAGTTATTAAATAAATCTTTTGTTATGAAAAATAAAGAATCGGAACTTGATTTTATTAAAGAAAAAACAACGAAATAACAAACAAAAATTTCAACTAGAATTTGGTTTTAAGATCAGTTCCGAAACCACCCAAAAAATACAAAATCGCACACACACACATAAATGCGACATAAACAATCGAACCGGCCCAAGACCCCTAGCCTAAACCGAGGGTTCGGATCATGGGTTAGAATCAGGTTCTATTGGGCCACATAATTTATATATGTTTATATTTGTATTTGAATCCAATAATGGGCTTAATACAATTTTCATCGACCAAAATTTTGTAACACTTTTACTTTCTTGTTTGATTTCATTTATCTATGTTGTTATCATAAGGATAATCAAATTTTTTATCCTAAGTTTGTTACAATAGTATATATCATATATGTATATATAGGTAGGTCAAAAGGTAAATGGACGGTTGAGATCAAATCCCTTGATAAGGAGGTTGATATTCAATCTCGCGTGAATTGGGCCAAAGAGTATGGGCCATTGAATTTGGGTTGGACTTTTAAAAATGTGATTTGGGCTTCTATCAATTCATCAGCACCAAAATTGAACATTGTTATCATAGAACATTACAAGTAGAACCCATCTTATAAAATTTTGAGGAAATAATTTAGATGAAAAAATTGGAAGTTTGTGAAAAAAATTACTGTTAATTATTAAAAATTATAAAAATATTTTGGAAAATTATGATATTCTTAGGAATAAAGTAGTTTTAATTATTTTTGTAAATATTTTGAAAGAAAAACAGAAATATGGATGGAAAGATTTATTAGTAGTTTATAATATAAATGATAAAAGAACACATGTAATGTGTACTTAGTTTGGATGATAAATTTATTTTTAAAATAAATTTATTAAATGATATAAAAATTGTGATGTTTGGATTTAGCATAACAAAAAAGAGTCATTTAAAAAAAAAAAAAAACAAACAAAAAGAATTCCGATAAATTTTTCAATGGAATATCATTATGTAGGTTTGATAGCAATTGTAGATTCTACATCATTTTTTTAAAAAAAAAAAAAAAAAAAAAAAAAAAAAAAGAAGAAGAAGAAGAAGAAGAAAGAAAGATATATATATATATATAATCATTAATCAAAAATAAATTTTATTAAATATTCTTCTATATATATTTCTTAAAACAAATATTTATAATTGATAAATTTACATAACTCTAATAAATGCTCCCAACTAAATAAAAAATTAACGTACCAAATTTCATTCTCACCAAATTCAAAATTTTAAAAAATAGCCGTTAAATAATTTCTTCAGTTTTCTCCCAAATTAAAATAGCAAATCAGTAATGAGCCTATCGAAATCAAGCAAAGCAAAGCAATGGAGCGGAGTGGAGAAAATGGCGAAGCGAGGAGGAAGATAAGCATTGAATTCGGCATGGCGGGTGACAAGTTTAATCTAATCGATATTCTATCAGAGGATGATGAGTTTCTATCTGCTTCGCCATTTGCGGTGGATTCTTTCAAAGGTAGTTTTGATCTCATTCTTTTTTTATTTCTTCTTTTGATTATCATCAACATGCACACCAATTGTTCGACAAAATTCCTTTATTGATTTTACCTTTTCTTTTTCGACACTTTTTTGATATTTTATATATTTGATTTGATATTCGTGAAATTATTTGACTATTTGATTTGATATTCAATTCATTTCGAAATTTAAAATGACATTTGTTTTCAATTCAAATTAATTTAAAATTACTCTGACTTTATTCAAGTATTTAAATTCGAATTTCTTAAATACAATTTTAACAATAATATTAAAATATTCGATTCATTATAATTTTAATTATATATATATAATTTTTGAAAAGTAATATAATAAATAAATTTGATTTTCTTTATTCAATTTGAAAAGATATATATTCTATATTTTATTATAGAACCAAATATTAAAATTTTGCATTTATATTCATTCAAATTAGAATTATACTACAATAAAGTTTTCAAATCGAATTTCGAATTAAATAAAATTTTAAATCGAATAAAATTATTTGATTCATTTAGAACTTTAATTACGCGAATACAGGCTTTAGGTTATCAGGGATAGGGAGTCATCAAGAACTAGAGCCAAATGACCAAAAAGAAGAGAATCTGTTACCTGTCGAATTTACGAAGCCATCAAGACCAAGTTTTTTGAGGAAAAGTTTAGCTTGGGACAGTGCATTCTTCGACAATGCCGGTATGTCCGATCAGCTCCTCGATTCAGACATTCTTACAACATCATATCTTCTTGTAATATTTCTTTCATCTGCAAATGCAATAGGTGTTCTTGATCCTGATGAGTTATCCTACATTAACAAGGGATTTAAAAAAGCTCCCGATGCGCGCGAACAAAGGTCCGAGTCGATCACAGCCACCGGCAGCAACAAGTCCTGTCGAGCGACGAATCCACAACATCGATTGCATCGCGCTCAAAGCTGTAAGAACAACAATGGCTCCAGTAAGTGTCAAATTTGAATATTGCATTTTACTCTGTCCGACTAGGCCAAAACTTTTTAAAAAAATTAATTCTAGTTATATTTTGCGTAAACTTTTTTTAATTAAAAAATAAATTATATTAATTTAAATAAATAAATTATAGTAAAATAATATTTTTATTAATAATTAATAATTTGAACATTAAATATATAATTAATTTTGTTATTTTCATATGTCCCGTTGTAGATATTCGTTTCTTTTTTAAATAGAAAATATATTTTAATTAAAAAAGAAAATATTTGTCCTTATTTTTCTAATTCCACTAATAATACTCTATTATCATTCATATTTATAAAATATTAATGTCCTCGAATCAGCGTGTACAAAAGTTAAATAACTATTTTAATATATTTTTTAATTTATTTATAACCTTAAATTTTTAGCGGTCTTGATCGAATTTTTTGCAAACTCTAGTTAAAAATTCTAAACATACATTCCGGAATTTCGGTTTCTTTCCTCTCCTATTCGCGCCTATCGTTTAACTATTTCTATACAGGTTTCAGAAAACTCGGAAGATCTTCGAGTAGCATGGTGAGTTTAAAAAAATAATTACCGCGCTCTCTTCGTAAACATTTTTTGAGCTTAGATCAAATCGTTTGTTTCATCTGATCAATACAGGTGAAATCCGATCAAGCGACACCGGCCGCAAAAAGTGTTAATGTTCATAACAAAGAGAAGATGAAGGAGGTTTGTCACTTACCATTTTCGCCACAATTTTTTCGTAAGAAACTTATCGATTCCTCTGTTTTCTTTAAGACAACGCCGGCGAGGAGCAGCGCAACAGGGTCCAACATCGGCAGCTTGTCCGCGAAATCTAGTGTAAGAAAAGGAAGTCCGTCAGCTGCAGCCACAGCTGGTTTGGGACTTTCAGACAATACGAATATTGCCGACTCATCGCGGCTTCGCCTCCCATCGCCTCGGCTAAGGTTCTTCGACGAGGTTCGTTCTATTCCCATTTTTCTCTTTTCTTCGTTCTGTCTGAGAATGTTGTAAAACTTCGTTATCCACAGAATACCCCGTCAAGATCCAGCACGGCGTCTGAAAGAATTCCATTCGATCAATCAAGAACCTTAAAACAATCGAGGACTGTTGGTTCGAGTTCATTTCTTACAGCCGAGAAAGAAATTTTGTCAAAAAGCAAGAGCATTGTCGATCAAAGGTGTAGAAATTCAACGAACCAACTCAGCATCGTCAATTCGTGTCCTAAAGAAAGTGCGGCGAAAAGGGATGCACCGAGGGGCCGAATCGGCAATCTGAGCCAACAATTAATCGAACCCGTCGATCTGAAGAAACGAGAGAAGGTCGAAGAAATCAAGAAAGGGAAGACGTACAGAGCTTCTCCATTGTTCAAACAATTGAAGAAATTGTGTCCATCACTCGATAGTTCAAGAATGCCTCTTGCAGACAAGACAGGTAAGTACGACCTTAATGGAACGAAATCGACATCGTATGGATCCAAGAAAGACAAGTTGGGGAAGCTGCAGGCAATCATGAACCTGTAGTTTCTTCCTGGGATCGAATGGTCTCAGCCAATTTTATATTTCATTTGATCACAAACTGTTACTATGCTAAATAAATATCAATGTTGGCAACATCTTAAATAAAAATTGACAAACACATAAAATATAAAACTTTTTCAGTCGAAAATTTATGTTGATATAATATAAATATTGAATATTTATGTTGTAACGAAATAAGATTTAAACATACCAACAATTTTTATGTTGTAACGAAATAAGATTTAAACATACCAACAATTTATCTTATTATGTTTAAGTTAATATAATAGAAGAGGAAGATTAGGATTCTCCAAATCAGCACATATACAGTATAGAAACAAAAGGGTAAACAAAAGGGTCTTTATTACATAGAGCATGTGTTTGTAATAAAAAAATATGTTTGTTAGTTCATAATTATAATGTATGTTTGATGTGCTAAAATATTATACGCAAGACTATATGATGCACTTAAAATATAAGCTATAATTAGATATATACTTGCTGATTATCCTTATACTATCGTATGTTAAATATAATATTCCAAATAACTATTTAAATATAAAATAATCGTTAGATAAATATATAGATTGGATAACTTCTATCGAATAAATAGCCTGTGAATCGATGATATAAATAACCTGTCTCACTAAAAAATTTAGATATCATTTATTTATTTAAGTTTTGTTCATCAAACATCGTATTATTAAGCTGCAGACCATCTTCAATCCCAAGAAATCAAATCAAAACTTAACAAAGTATAAAACTTATGAGAAAAAGATCAAAACAACAAGAAGAGCAGAATAATCTCTCTCTCTCCTCTCTCTCTCTCTACATAAATTCCAACTTGACAAACACAGAATATAATTCATAGCAAGTCATCATCTGCAGAACAGCCAGCCAGCCAAGAACAAACAAACAAACAAACCCTAATTTGGCCCTCTAAATAAAAATTATTAGCATTAATTAATGTGATAATTATTCATATTCGATGGATCGAATAGTACTTCTGCTGCATAAGATCGATCATCCCACCAAGACATAAAGAGCATATATAATCCCTGGAATATACCCCAAGATTGTCAGCAGCAAATCAATCCAGAACTCAACCTGCACACCAATCCAATCAAAAACCCCCCAAATCAATCATTCAAATAACACAAAACCCTAACCCTAAATTATATATATACATATAATTAGCAACTGATTATATATATATTAATTAATTAATTAATTACCGACCCCACATCCGTATCTGAGAAAAACACCGACGGGAGGCAGCAGAATTGCCAGAATTACTTCAAGAAATGTTTCAGAACCCATTAATTCTTCTCTCGATCTCTCAACACTTTTTTTCTGGTTTTTATGGAGAAATTTACTTAAAACGGTGGAGACGACAAGAACATGAAGACGAGGGAGGGTGGGTGGTTGTTGGGAGGTGGGGGTGGGGTATGGGTGTCAAGTTTCGAAGAGATCAAGATTGGAGAAAAGCCCACGTGGCATCCCACGTAGCTACGTGGCCTCGATGTAGACATAACTATCATTAAAAAATAAAATAATAATAATAATAATAAAAAAAAAAATGTAGACATATAAAACTATCTCTATGCATACATCACCTAAGGCCACGTTTGGTGTAAGAATCACGGATGAGAGTGACATTTCATAACATAGAAGAACATATATTTATATTATATTTATGCACATGAAATTATTAATTAAAAATAAATTTATAAATACATTTTAAAATAATATATATTAAAAAATAAAATATCATATATATTCAAACGAATTTAATCGAGTCGAATATCAACACAAGTTAGAACAATAAAATTATTAAAGAACCGAATTCGAACACTAAAAATGAGTTTGGATGTTTAACGAATGACCACGAGTCTTATCTGCTAATGTTAAGAAATGAATCCAAATACTTAAAATTTTGTTCGATTTGACTCCATAACGCGATGATTCCGAATTGATCGAAACCCTAGGACCCCTATTCATTTAATTGGGTTTGATTAAATAAATATTGGGTTGATATAAATAGGGTATTATATTACTCTTTGTATTGGATCCAAGGTGTAATAGTGGATTTGGACTTGCAATTGGATTCGACCTATTAACATATCTATGATATTTAAGGAAAAAAAAACATTTTGTATTGATTCAATTATTTCTAAAATATTTTGGTTGAGCTTCAGTTATTTGTTTGTGACAATTTAATTATAATTTCTGAAATAAATATATAGAATTTGAAGTTGTTACTTAACATATTCGAACAGAACTTTAACGGCTTTCGATTTAATATTCGCGAATAAGACTTGTGCTGCTTCGTTAAGCATTCTATATTGATAACGTGAAAACACAGTATGTTTATTTGGTAAATGTTTAGGAAAAATTAATTTGAATTTAATGTTAAAATTAATAATTGATGGAATATTTTATTAGATATTTTTTTTCGGGAAATATAGAGTCAAAATAATAAAATGGGAGAAATTTTAGTTAAAAAAAAATATTGAGTTTGATGACAATATATATCTTAGAGCTGTCAAAATTGGTTGAGTTTGATTCGCCTTATTTTTAAAGAGGACTGATATTTAATATTTTAGATCGGATAAAATGTGAGCCTAAATGAGTTAATTGACTAGGATTGCGGGTTAGAAGTGGGTTAGCCAGTTGGCTAAAAAAATATATGTATAATTATATTATATAGTTATTATTTCAAATAAATCTACCTATTTTGCCATTTTAATTTGTCCAATATTAATTAAGTTATTTTATTTTAGTAATTTTACTTACTACATAACTTTAAAAAATTCTTATAACTTGCATATCATTACAACAAAAATCATCGTTACTGTATAATGCTAATATTTTATAATGGTTTTTGAAAACATTTTATATTAAATTAAATCAAATAATTAAGTTATTAAAAACTTTGATATTATGTTAAACTAATTAATCAATATATATTGTGTGTGATATTACTCTCTTTAATAACTGTTTTAATCGATATCATTGTCTTCTTTATTTTAATTTTTTATTTGTTTTAGTCATTTTTCATTTTTTTGTAAATTTTTTTCTTCTAAAATTGATTGAAAAAATTATAAGAATAATACATATTTATTGTTTAAATATTTTTATTAATAAATTTTAAAAAAATAACGATCAATAATATTTAAAATTTTGAATCAATTTATGCTACATATTTATTTTTAAATATTTATTATTTAACCTCTAAAATATAAATATTTTTTATATTAAATATATATATATATAATATTTTTAAAAACTCGTGGGTTCATCCGCTTGGCTCGCCACCCTCGGGTGGGTTGGGTTTGGTTGCCTTTTTTAGCATGCTCTGCCGTGTTAGCCCACAAATAACCCGCTTATTTGCGGGTTATGGTGAGTTGTGGGCTAATTTGCCCGTCAATCCATTTTGACAACTCTAATATATATACATATAGGGTGTGTTTGTTTGGGGGATTGGATTTTTAATCCATTATTCATCCCATTTTTTTCCCCCAAAAAATATCAAATCAAACACCTATTTTTTATTTTTTATATTATATTAAAAATTAATTTTACATTCAAAATATTACATCAATACCTATTTATATCATAGCATATAACTATTCAAATTCAAAATTTTTACTATATAAATTTCAATTCAAAATCCAAACTCCCGAACAAACACATCATGTGTAATAGAAATAAGCCAAACAACTTATAAAGGACCTACAGTCTAACTTGCATAAGACTTTGTTTAACCTAGTGTGTTTACTAAGGGTGCATTTCCTTTAAATGATTGTATTATAATACGAAAAATTATTTCAAGAAATTATATAATCATAAGATTAATTAATATAGTGTTTGCTTTGATTGATTAAACGTTGAATCAAATTGTATTATATATAAAAATTTCTACAAAAATAAATTTATATTTCAAAAAGTCAAATAAAAATACATTTTAAATAAATATTTAAAAAGTATATTATAATATTTATGTAAAATGATTCCAAATGTCTAAAAAGTTAGATAATTTCGAGATTTATTAGGTGAGATTAAATAATATTAGGGGAGAAATTGTACTAATAATTCTGTCAAATGTTACTATTGTATCTGGCCCGTAGTTATCTCGCGCTCCAATATATTAAAGTAAAAATGGGATTAAAGCGGATAAAATAATATTATTCACACCAATCATGTAGTAAACGCACCCTAAAAGCATTAAACTCTAATATATTTTCAAACTTTTTAAATTAAATAGAAGGCTTTGTAAAAAGTTTTTTTTTTTTTTTTTTTTTTTTTTTTTGCCTTTCAGACCGGTCTGTTTATATATTTATAGATATCTATCTAATATATATAAATATTATATTTTAATTGTTTATTATTCATAAAAATTTATGTTTGGTGATATTAAAAAATATAGAAATTAATTTATTTTAATTGACTTATTATATATAATAAATAATTGTATTTACTTTTTTACAAATATTAAGTTTGAAAAATTAAAAAATATATATATGTTGATGTAATTTTTCAACAAAAATAAAGTAAAATTCAAAGATATAGAAAATATCCTTAAACTTGATTAATTAGTGCCTGAGATTAGGAATCTCTAAACACTGTATGGTACAGAAAATAAACTGGAAAATAAAAGACTGAAATTTAAAGTGGTGATCCCCAAATCTGACTTTGCTTTGTTGAAGTTGATTGAAGATACCCTGCCAAATGATTATCCAAACCTTTAAATATTCTCTGGGAAACCGTACTGAAAACTGTCACCCGAACGGTTACAACGTCTCCTTTCCAACCGTCTTCCAATCCTTCTCCTGCTGACACGTGTCCTCAGCAGACCAAAATTATCCCTATATTCCACTCTTTGAGCTGGCCACAGACCTTCCGCCTTTTAGGCCCGACTGCCAAACTACAACAGTATGGGTCCGATTGCCAATCCTCCCGACTTGCAAACCATCTGACTTGTTTGGTTTAGCTACAGACATCCCGACCAACAAACCACCCGATTTGTTGGTTCTGCCGCAGAATTCCGTCCTGATAACTTCCCGACCTGAGGGCCCCCCGACTTGCGGACTTCCCGTCCTGAAGGCCCCCCGACCTGCAGACTTCCCGTCCTGAAGGCCTCCCGACCTGCGGACTTCCCGTCCTGATGACTTTCCATCTTGAGGACCTCCCGACCTGAAAACCTTCCGACCTGAGGTCTTTCCGTCTTGAGGACCTCCCGACCTGAAGACCTTCCGACCTGAGGTCTTTCCGTCTCGAGGACCTTCCGACCTGAGGTCCTTCCGTCCTGATGACTTCCCGCCTTGAGGACCTCCCGACCTGAAGACCTTCCGTCCTGAGGACCTACCGACCTGAGGTCCTTCCGTCCTGAGGACCTACCGACCTGAGGTCCTTCCGTCCTGAGGACCTTCCTTAGAAATAAACCTATTTTTCCTTGATTTCCTCACGGTGTCCTTCAGCCAGTTCAATCAACTCTATTGCCAGGCCCATTCTTCTTTTTACCTTGGGCTTTTAACCTAATTCTAAATTTCGTACGTAACAACTTGCCCGCCGCCAAGGGACTTTCAAACGCCAGTTAACAATCAATGTTTG